CATAACTGACTCCCTCTATAAATGCCCAGCTGGCCTAGTTATAAATGCCCAAAAACTCTTCTTTTTTCATAACTGACATAGCTATAAATGCCCCAAGACTCTTCCTATTCCCTTCTGTCCTCCTCCATAAATGCCCCATGTCTAATCATCTCCCCCTTATGCTGCCTTTTCTTTCTCCTAGCATACGTAAGGTTAACTGGGGGCCTATCAGGAGGTCTTAGGGGGCTAAAGGACTTCTTTATTGGCTTCACAACACAATAGGTTACAAAACAATGACTAGGACATAACATAATATTGCAAGTTACACTTGCCATTTGATCATCATGAAAAAGGACTCGTTATAGAAATATGAGTCTCCAAACTGAGATACATTATTGGTTTTAGTCAGTTAGTGAAACAGCTTTCCAATTAGCTTTTTTGGGGGAAATACCTAAGGTCAAGGCCACTTTGCAGAATACTCTCTGTGATCAATTAGTATTTTTAGTTTTGTATTATGATAGTTTTGCACATCTACGTGAAGCTGATCTTATTGCTTCGTTTATTTGGGTTGTGTTTTACTGCTCAGTATTTGATTTGTTTAATTCTTGGGTAATAAAAAAAAGGTTGCACAAGGTAGATAGTTGCATCTTCACAATATTTAGTAATGAGTAGACTTTTTTTTTTTGATAAATAATGAGTAGACTAGCTTTTGGTCTAAACATTATTTTAATTTTTTCCCATTATTTTGAACTGCTTTCTTTCTGGGTTAATAACTGCAAGACAAATATTTTCTAAAATGGTTAAGGAGAGGGAGAGGGACTGCTGTTATAATTTACAGGATTATAACCATAGGATCAACTCAGTTCCAACCCTAAGACTTGGGCCTCTGGCTCAAGCCTGGCCTACCTGAGGTGAAAGCCCGAGTTTTCAGACACATGCCCAATCTGAGCTTAATCCAACAAAAACTGGGCCAGGCTTGGACTCGGTTAGGCCTGGGAGGGTTGGTTGGGTTTGAATGTTTCCTTTTTATTAGAAACAGTTGGCAATTGATTTTGAATAAAAGAATTTTGTACATGGACCATAAGATCTAACAGCCCTTTGTTTGGCCTATCACAAGCCACCCACCTCTTACTCTCATTGCTATTTCTTTCTTTTTTATTTTATAAGCCTCCTCCTAGGGAAATCAATCCCCTATACATTTGGTTCCTTCCTTTGCCTTGTCTACCTAATGATTTAGTCATGTTATTGGCTGAACATGGAGTCCACTTGTATGCCACTCTGAATAGATTTGTTATTTCCTTAATGTCCTTGATTCATGTTTTAATGCCAAGACCCCATCCTATTTTTTTGGTAATAAAATAAAAGAAGAAATTTCATTAATTGATAAAAAAAGTACAGCCAACAGTGATGGGAAATCACCAATAAGAGAAAAAACTCAAGATAAAACAATACATCAAAGGCAAAAACAGTACAATAGATCAACCCAACAACCAATTCTAATGATTCCCTGAACACCCTCTCAAATTCAGGCAAGATTAAAATCCACTCCAGAATCCTTTTTTCCAATGATTGAGATAATTTGATCCTTGCACTTGAATGGCCTTCAAATGTTCTTCTATTTCTCTCTTTCCAGATTTCAAGGGAACATAGTTCCATGCTATTTTTGTGTTTCTTCAAAATAAGCCAATGGGAACATATCAAGATTAAAAAGGCTGAAGAAGTATCTCCAAATATACTTAGAGAAACAGTGTTCAAAACAAAGATGTAACACATTCTCCTCTTTGAACAAACATAAGTAGCATCTGCCTGCCATCTGAATTTCATTGCTTTTGATACGATTCTGGGTAAGAATGCTATCTAATCCAACTAGCAATCAAAAGCCCCCACCCTAGGAGGAATTGGATTTTCCCAAATTCCTTTCACAGCCGACTTCTCCACTTCATTCCTTGCCAAAACTCTATAGGACTTCAAACACACAGAAAAAAAAAAAAAATGAAGAAGACTGAAGAGAGGAGAGCTTGAGAGTTCAGCAATGAGGGTCTGAGAATGAGAGTTTCGAACCTACTCTCTCTCTCAGCACCCTAACATTCTTTTATTAAGATATATTTGAATAATTACAAGGAGGCCCTTATGTGGGCAAGAATTTACAAAGAACTGAATATAGACAGGATG